GGGCCTACCCTAGAGTTGGATGACTCATTTGAGGATACCAATAGACGCTTGGTGAGGAGAATTCCGGAGGCAGAGATCGGAGAGGCTATGAAGAGGATGAAGGGAGGTAAAGCAGATGGTATCCCCATTGAGGTGTAGAGATGCTTGGACGCCAGAGTGTTAGTATGGCTAACTAAGCTTTTTAACCTCATTTTCCGGTCAAACAAGATGCCTGATGAATGGAGTAGAAGTACTTTAATACCGATCTTCAAGAACAAGGGAGATGTTCAAAGCTGTGGTAACTACCGTGGAATTAAGTTGATGAGCCATACGATGAAGCTCTGGGAGAGGGTTATCGAGAATCGTCTACGACGACTGACGAGTGTGACCCAAAACCAATTTGAGTTTATGCCTAGAAGGTCGACCATGGAGGCGATTTTCCTAATACGACAGTTGACGGAGAGATATAGGGACCAAAAGAAGGACTTGCACATGGTCTTTATCGACCTTGAGAAGGCTTATGACAGAGTACCGAGGAATGTCATGTGGTGGGCCTTAGAAAAGCACAAAGTTCCATCTAAGTACATTACCCTCATCAAGGATATGTACAAGGATGCGATGACGTGTGTCCGAACATGTGAGGGCGATACCAGCGACTTCCCAATTAAATTAGGACTACACCAAGGGTCAACATTGAGCCCTTATTTATTTGCATTGGTGATGGATGAGGCTACAAGGGACATACAAGGTGATATCCCTTGGTGTGTGCTCTTTGCTGATGATGTGGTGCTAGTTGACAAGAGTAGGACAAGGGTAAATAGGAAGTTAGACCTGTGGAAGGACACGTTAGAGTCGAAAGCCTTCAGACTTAGTATGTCGAAGACCGAGTACATGACGTGCGCTTTCAGCATGGCTATACATGATGATGGTGACGTTAGCCTTGACGGGCAAGTGGTGGCCAAGAAGGAGACTTTTCGGTACTTAAGAATCGATGCTACAAAAGAATGGCGGCATTGATGTTGATGTTAGGCGTAGAATTGCATCCGGTTGGTTGAAATGGCGTCAAGCTTCGGGCGTACTCTGTGATAAGAGGGTGCCACAAAGGCTAAAAGGTAAGTTCTATAGAACGACGATTCGCCCGGCGATGCTATACGGTGCTGAAAGTTGGCCTACAAAAAGGCAACATGTCCGACAACTAAGTGTAGCAGAGATGCGTATGTTGCGTTGGTTCTGCGGGCACACAAGAAGTGATAGAATTCGGAATGAGGATATTCGAGATAGGGTCGGGGTGGCTCCAATTGAGGAGAAATTGGTTCAACATCGGCTGAGGTGGTTCGGACATGTCCAACGGAGGCCTCCTGATGCACCGGTGCGTAGGGGAGTTCTACAGCGGGTCGATGATGTAAGGAGAGGTAGAGGTCGGCCTAAACTCACTTGGGAATAGTCGGTTAAGAGAGACCTTAAAGATTGAAATATCTCCAAGGATTTAACGGTGGATAGAAGCGCTTGGAGGCTAGCAATCAACGTGCCAGAACCGTGACTTTTGGTCTTTTCTCTTTTTCTCCAATCTCTTCCTTTTGTTTTGAGCCTTTTTTGTGTTTCTCTTATCATTGGTTCTCTTGGGTTCATCTCTAGCCTATCCCAACTTGCTTGGGACTAAAAGGCTATGTTGTTGTTGTAGTTGTTGTAGTTGTTGTTGTTTTTCAGTTGGAATGCCACGATATTCTTCTAGTGTATTGATATCAAACGAACGAAAAGTATAATTAACAAAAGGTATACAAATTAATAAGAATATTTTCTAAAAGACACACACACACACACACACACACACACACATATATATATATATATATGATGTGGTTCAAATGAGAACTAAGTCTTATTGTGAGAACCGTGAGAACCGCTATTTTTAATTGTGCGTAGTGCTATGATTGGTTGTGTTTGGTGCTATTTTTAACCATGATGAATTTTATTAAAAATAGCAACACAATTTATATTAGCATTTGTGAAAATGATAGCATCATCTAATATTAAAAATAACATCNGAAGATAAAATGTAGGAAAAGGAAAGGGGATGGGGTGATGTTGGGTGACTTCACTTGCATCATAAATGGCTTTATTTGTTTGACATTTTCCCCTCTTGATGGATATAAATTTGGTGGGTATAAAAATTGCTACATGGCTTCACTTGATTGGTTTCTTCTTCAAGTATTCAAAAGTTTTGAGCTAATTCCTTCTAAGTTTTTGGCATTCGATCTGCATAAAAAAGCAATTTAGTTGGGTAGTTATTTAATAAAATAAAATTGAACATTGTCCAATAGTTCTGAATGTAACTTTTACCAATATGAGTTTGATAGAAAAAGCATTGTTAGTAGGTCACCTTTATTATAACTAGCCATAGTTGAGAAATTAATAATTATACACACACAATACAATTTTTAATTATACATAATGTATTTGTTTTGAATGCAAAACATGTGCATATGTTTAACCAAGCAATATAACACATAAGTACATATAATATATTTCATAATTGTTTAGGTAATTGACTAGCATGTACATATGCACTTACATATACTATAATCATACATACATGTAATTATGATATATATATATATATATATATATATATATATATATATATATATGNAAAACATCAATTACACCTTTTTTTATATATAATTTAATCAACTCTTTTATACTTTGACAATTGAAAACATCAACTTAAAATTATTTTTGCAATCTGAACATTAATGTAAAACCCCACCACATATCGCAAATAATTAGGTGTGCCATGGTCTTTGTAAAATACACTCCCTCAAAAAAGCGCGTGAGGTAAGGTTTTTTCTTTTAAATGGGACATGTATCCCATTTCTATTGGATAATGAATTTTATATATCATATTATATAAATTAAATTATCATTCATATGTTATATTAAAAATAAAAATAAAAATACCAAAATTCATAATTTTTCATTCTTTACAAATAGAGACCACATTTGATAAGTTTTAGAATACAATTAATATATCACTTTTCACAATTAATTTATTTTGTTGGAAGATGAAGACGCAGATCCATAATTAGATGAACATATAACTTAGTAAGATGAACATGTTATAGAATAAGATGAACATGTTACATAGTAAGATGAACATGCTACATAGTAAGATGAACATGTTATAGAATAAGATGAACATGTTACATATTTACACAATAAGATGAACATGTTATAAAATAAGATGAATATGTTACAAATGAGATGAACATGTTACTTAGCAAGATGAACATATTATAGAATAAGATGAACATGTTACATAGTAAGATGAACATGTTACATTGTAAGATGAACATGTTATAGAATAAGATGAACATATTACATATTTACACAATAAGATGAACATGTTATAAAATAAGATGAATATGTTACAAAATGAGATGAACATGTTATAACATAAGATGAACATGTTCGTAACATGTCCATCTTATTTGATAACATATTCATCTTATTATGTAACATGTTCATCCTATGTCAGTATAATAAATTGATTACGAAAAAAAAAATTAATTATGTTAAAAAAACCTATCAAATGTGGTCTCTATTTATAAAGAATGAAAATTTATGAATTTTGATATATTTATTTTTTTATTTTAATATAAATCATTAATGATATTTTGATATATCTAATATGTCTCATTTTCAAATAAAAAAAAAAAAGTAATGTGTACTACACTCTTTCAGTTTTTTAGTTTTTGAGAGTGATTAGGCGCGTGCTGGCACACTTTGCTGCACACGGTAGTGGTACTGACCACATATAGCTAGGTGGCATCTATTAATTTATTTTTTTTAAAAAAAAAAGCTAATTAAAATGTATCATGACTCATCATTCTATGGAACCTAACTCTCTAGACAAGGGACCTCTAGCGTCAAGACACGTCTTTTATATTTTATCTCCACCTACCACCGCCACCTGGCCGGCCACCCGCGGCCTTTGTTGAGAACCAGCCGCCGGCCAAATCTTTTTAACTCTCACAATAGCCTCTGATATTGAACAATATTGGCAAAAGGGCATTGCAATATTGATTCCAATAGCTTATATAATATGTGCATCGATAGAAATCAATAAGGTGGACAATAGGCTGCAAACTAGTTAAGCCGAATCTGAACATTGATCTCGACAGAAAACACAAACACTTGAGATATGCTTGAATGTCATCGTCTTGAATTTATTAACTCAAGTTCGGGTCAAAAATTTTAATTAAAAGATGTCTAGTTAGGTGTATTTAGGTAATTTTATATAAATTTGAGCAGCTCGTCAAGCGCCAGAGCATACAACCTACGGGCTCGAGCTCGAATTCAAAATCAAAGTGTTCAGACTTGACTAGAATTCGATTAAATTGAGTTCGAGTCGAGTTTTGATTCGAGTGTTGCATGCAATCTGCTAGCGACAGCTTGTTGCTCGACTTGTTTGCAGTTCTTATAGATACTAAATCACAACATAACGATTAAAAAAAAAGACTAGGTTTTTATTTCAAAATTTGATTCCTAACAAAAGAAAGAATAATATGTGTACGAGTGTGTATATATCTATATATATCATCTCAATTCCTCTTCACTTCTTCCAATATTTTTATAGAAAAAGATAAAAAGAAAAGAGAGAAAAAAAATTGCAAATATTATGAATTAATCATGTACCGTATCAAGAAAACAATTATATTAAAGTATGATTTTGAATTATTATGATTATTGTTATTATTTATTCCTAAATAACGCCTTTCCGATATTCTCTACACGCACCCCAACTCAAAGGCGGTCAAAGGTCAAATATTTTTCATTTTCCCCATCAAGGCATCAACCAAACAATTAATCATCTTCCATATATATTCATTAAAATCCCTCCACCGGCAAGGCTTTGCATGCATGCATGGCGGAGCCACCGCGTTCCGCCGCCACATCATCCTCCCATGCAGCTTGCCAACTCGTATCAATTTGATTAATCAAACAATATATACATACCCAAAAAAAAAAGAAAAAAAAAAAGGATATATATTCTCAACATGTCGAATTTCGACCAGAATTCCTTGCAAGAAGGCAAAATCATTATTTCGGCTGCTGTGGCAATCGACAAGGACAAAAACAGCCAATTCGCAGTGAAATGGGCCATCGACAAATTGAGGTTGAAGGATAAGCGGATCATCCTCGTACATGTTAGAAGCAATTACAGTTATGATTCAGGTGGTTTTTGTTAAAATTTCCTTTTTCCATTTTATTTGTTTGATGAATTTGATGTTTTCTACCTGCAAAATTGTTCAGATTCAATTCATCCGTGTTATAAGGTGGTTTGGCCTATTTTGCAATTTCTCATGAATAAAGGATAAAATCTAAAAGTGTTTCATCATATACAATGATTTGCCAAATAAAAATTTGATATTGTACATTGATTTACTCTTCATTTAACCATTTTTATCTTTCACTAGTACAATAATTGTTAGATTTTTTTTTATTATTTTTTTTTTTTTTTTTGCAGTTGTTCCTAAAGAGGGCCGTGAACCTACACAAGCTGAAACACAACAGTTGTTTCTTCCTTACCGCAGTTTTTGTGCTCGAAAAGGGGTAATGTAAAACCTATTTCTATATTGATCTACACAATATAAATATTAAATACACCCATGCTTATATGGTAAAATATTGAATGCTAGTAAGAATTTGGAGTCTAGATTTAGGGTGGGCAATATGTGAAAATTGTCGTTTTTGTGCTTCTTATGTCAACCAATAAAGGTGTAATGAATATTAAGAACTACTTCAGATGACACTAGAAGAACTAGTTTACAAGTTTTTGTGAGGTTGAAGTTGATTTGTTTTGTTTTTTCAAACAAATATGTATATTAATACTATGAAATGCTACACTTTTTTTTTCAATTATTTTGAGTTGTCTAACAACAGTCTTACCTACAACCAAAGCTTCTTTTCAATTCTCATGTACTGAGTTTTCTGGAAAAATTATGACTGTCTAGCGATTAAAGTTGCCTCAATCAAAACTTCTCTACTTCTTATGTATTGAGTTTTAGGGGGATATTGTGTTTGCCTAGTGTTCAAGTTGCTTAACAAACAAACTCCATACCGCCAATTCTTCTCATATATTGAGTTTAGGGAATAATTATGATTGCCTATAGTTCATAATTGCCTACGAATAGTCTTACCGTCAGTCAGAACTTCTTTCCCTGAAAAAATTATGATTGTCTAAATTGTCTACTATTTAGAGTTTGTTGCCTAACGACAATCTTAGCATCAATCATTACCTTGCTTCTCGTGTATTGAGTTTTGGTTGAACTTCTTTACTTCTTATCATGTATTTGAGCCTTTGGGAATGATATTACAATAACAACAACAACAACAACATAGTCTTTTGGTCCCAAGCAAGTTGGAGTAGGCTAGAGATGAAACCCAAGAGAACCAATGAAAATTTTATGCTAATGAAAACTACATTACTGTTGTTGTTGTTAGATTCGTGCCACCGAGGTGATTCTTCAAGACCATGACGTGGCAAGGGGACTTGCCGAGTATATCAGCATCAACTCTATAACTACAATCGTGCTTGGTGCTTCAAGCCGAGCTGCCATATTGAGGTATACATATATAGCCTGCAATTTTCACATCAAACCACAAATTTTTCGCACTCGTTTTTGTACAATATTTGAGCCTTTTTGTGACTTTTGTGTAATATAATGCTACATTTCTAATGTGCTCCTTAAGAAACTAGATGCAGATTAAAAGGGGCTGCTCTTCTTTTCTAAGAAGTTATTCACAACGGTCGAAAACTAAAAAGTGATTTTTTTTAATAGCTAAATGTTGAGGATCATTTTTTTCTTTTGTTTCCTTACAGAGCATTTAAGAATGCAGATGTTCCGAGTTCAGTAGCGAGATGCGCACCAGATTCTTGCACGGTGTACGCCGTGTCGAAGGGCAAAGTAGTAAAACTCAAATCCGGTAGTCAACCAGAGACTCCGAGCAGCTCGACAAGTTCCATGCCTCGGAATGCGTTGTTCTCACCTGCTGATAATTCGAGCCAATCGAGTTATTACGCGTAAGTCAAGGAGGATACTTTCATCAAACAAATCGTGATATTAACCGGAGTTAAAAAGTCAAGATGAAACGTAATCAAATTTAGGAGATCATATAATAGTATACGAGTGACTCGCCTAGGGCTGCAAACGAACCGAGCGGCTTGATCAAAGCTTGACTCGAGCTCGAGTTTGACCGAACTCGAGTCGAGGCTCGAGCATGTTATCGATGTTATCGAGTCGATCTCAAGCATAGGTTTTGGAAGGTCGAGCTGCTCGAGACATTCTGTGAATTACTAAAATACCCCTTATATATATAAATATTATAATATTTTATATATGTACTTAATGGTAATTTTACCTGTAATTTGAGTCGAACTCGAGCGATCTGTCGAGCATTTTAATTTCAATCGATCTCGAGCTGAGCTCGAGCGATTAAAAGAAGTCGATCTCGAGCAAGTAAAAAAAAAATCAATCTTGCTCGATCAGGCCAATGCTCGACTCGGCTCGGATCTTTTGCAGCCCTAGACCCGCCTAACGATTAAGCTGAACTACATGAGTAGAACTACTAACTTGGATTTTCCTTAATTTCCGAATATTCCAAATCACAGCCCGGACAGCTGGAAAAGCCCGAACTCCGAGGTATCATCCTTTGACATCGGAAACCAGTCAAGACAATCGCCAGATGGCGCCAAAAACACGATTCCTCTCTACTCCGGAACAAATACTATCAGCAGAGAATACCACCAAAACCAAATACCTCAAAAGGAAAGATCGTACGGCAGCAAATCGACCGCACTCCAAAACTCGACCAACAGCGAAGAATCGGAAAGACACAGCAACACAAAATACTCGACGCCTTACGACTCGGATAACACAAGCAACGAAGGCTCGACTTCTTACTACAGCAACTACAGCTCGTCGCCCGTAAACTCGAAGCCTGGTGAAACTGATTTTGGACACATGGCAAACAGGCAGGCAAACAACAGCAAGATCTCGAATTTGATGCAGTCTTTAAACAATATGAGCCTTGAGGTTCGGAAGAGAGGGAGCCCCGGTTACTCGATGTCCGAGTCGAGCGATGTTTCGGAAGGGATGAGTTTCCCTTCGGATGTCTCGTTCGAGGTTATGGACCATTATAGGGTTTCGGATTCTTCTAGAAGCTCGACATCCTCGCAAACTGCGGTAAGTACTTGCAAAAAAGAAAAACTTGGTCCCATAATTTAATACTTGATCCCATAATATCTTTTTTCTTCATTTTCTGCTGAATCTTTTAGCATTGAGACAAATTTTGCAAATTATAGGCCAAAAAGTGAAATATACCTCACCTCATAAAACCTTTAATCACCTTCATCTTTTAACAATACAACAAACATATACACACACCAGGAAATAGATGACGAGCTGAGGAGACTGAAGCAAGATCTGCATCAAATCACAATGAAGTACAACTTAGCAAATCAAGAAGCAGCAACAGCTAGAGACAAGGTAAACACACACGATTATATATAGACATTACATACACATGTAAAAAAAAATCTTTACGAAAAACAGTATTGTGATGTTAAAATGCATTACATTTGAATCATATGATGTCGAATTAGGTGAGAGGCCTTATCCAATCGAAAATCGATGAAGGAAGCAAATTGGATGAGGCAAGGCAGGCTCACGAGGCTGCACTGGCCATTGTCGAGCGAGAGAAGCTGATGTGTAAGGCAGCAGTCGAGGTGGCTCACAAAGCACAGCGTATAGCCGAGCTCGAGTCCGAGAAAAGAAAGCACGCAGAGTTAAAATATAAACAAGAATCCGAAGAGAAACAGAAGGCGATTGATGCATTAGCACGCAGTGAGATCAGGTACAGAAGGTACACGATGGACGAGATTGAGATCGCAACAGATTATTTTCTGGCGGCGAATAAGATTGGAGAAGGTGGGTATGGACCGGTGTTCAAGGCCACACTGGATCACACCCCAGTTGCCATCAAGGTCCTGAGGCCGGATATCTCGCAGGGCGAGCAGCAGTTTCAAAAAGAGGTGATTTATTTTATTTTATTTTATTTTATTTTATTTTTTTGGTGTTCTGTGTCTTAAAATTTTTATACTTACTATTTTGTTGTACTGCAGCTAAACCAAAAATTGAAAGTGATATTCGCTAAAAATTATCCCACGGATCTGAAGTAATTATCCCAAATAATTTAGTTCTTTAAACCTTTGAAATTACAACAACCAATTTTGGTTGATCCGGCGGAAGTTGCAGACATCATTAAATGCTTCACAAATCACAATACTACACCAATCAACTCTAAATAATCGAGCCACTAATTTTCTGTCTACTTGAACATTTAGAAAGAGTGAGGGATGTGAAAAAATGTAAAATGCCTTGACAGAAGTTGAAGGTTTCAATAATACTTACAAAAGCTTAGCTGATAGCTCCACTCCACCGAAAACAAACTCCCAAAATTCACATCTAGCAAACTGCAACAAAATATGATTATATCAAACTTTTTATGACAAAGACGGAAAACTTTTGAAGTCTTAGGAAGGACAAAATATGATTATATTTAACATTTAGAAAGAGTGAGAGATGTGAAAAAATGTAAAATGCCTTGGCAGAAGTTTAAGGTTTCAATAATACTTACAAAAGCTTAGCTCCACTCCACCGAAAGCAAACTCCGAAAATTCACATCTAGCAAACTGCAACAAAAAAGGACAAGTTGCACCTTCAACATAGTTCATACAAAACTTAATCAATATCTAATATCAAATATACATGCCATTATTATCTCCAAAATAATTGGAGATAAATATACAAAAAACTTATGGCTATGTTTGGTAACCAAATAAGCTAGCTTATATCTTATTTGGTTAGCTTATAAGCTTCATGTATTCAAATAAATTTCGTTTGGTAGGATGAGCTTTATTTAAAAAAACTCGAGCTTTTCTCATAAGTTTCTTTGGGTAGCTTTTCAAATAAGCTCGTTGAAATTTTTATTTCAGCTACCTTATCAGCTAATTTTACTTAACACTAACTTTTCAGCTATAAGCTCGAAAATCACTTAACATATAAGCTAGCTTATCAGCTAGTTTTACCAAACATAACCTATTTATCACTCATATTCACACTAGTAATAAGACGAAAAAACACCAACCAATCTCATCGTGTATACCTTCTTCCGACGCAGGTCGAAGTCCTTAGCCGAATGCGCCACCCAAACATGGTCGTCCTCCTCGGCGCCTGCCCCGAGTACGGAAGCCTCGTCTACGAGTACATGGAAAACGGATCCCTCGAGGACCGTCTCCACCGCAAAAACGGGTCTCCTCCCCTCTCGTGGCCCGCCCGTTTTCGAATCTCCGCCGAGATCGCCACCGCCCTCAACTTCCTCCATTCCACCCGACCCGAGCCCCTCGTCCACCGCGACCTCAAGCCCGGGAACATCCTTCTCGACCGAAACCTCGTCAGCAAGATCAGCGATGTCGGCCTCTGCCGCCTCGTCCCACCACCTGTCGCCGACACCATCACTCAGTGCCACATGACTGCAGCTGCCGGAACTTTCTGTTACATCGATCCGGAATATCAGCAGACGGGCATGCTAGGGACGAAATCCGATGTGTACTCGTTCGGAGTTATGCTGCTGCAGATTCTCACGGCTCGGCCAGCGATGGGACTCTCGCATTATGTCGAGACGGCGATTGAGAATGGGAGATTTGGGGAAGTGCTTGATCGAGCGGTTGGGGATTGGCCGGTAGAGGAGGCGCTGTCGCTGGCTAAGCTGGCTTTGAAGTGCTGTGAGCTGAGGAGAAGGGATAGGCCGGATCTTAACTCGGTGATTCTGACTGAGCTCGAGAGGTTGAGGGATTTGGGTTCGGAGGTGGCTCGTGGGGGTGGGGTTAGCTACTGCTATGTGAATTTGCAGGGTGGTGGGGTTAGCTCGAAGGAGAGCAGCTCGTCTGAAAGTCAGGTGAATCAGGAGAGGTTTTACGATATGAACTCATCTTCAAGTCAGGTTGAACGATTTTTTATTTTGTTTCTTTTTTTTATTAACAACCGTATGCAAAAATAATTTACAGCTTCTATCTATACTGCATTGAACTTTGAATATCAAAACTTACGTTCCCTATTTGAATAAAATTCTTAGTTTTCATCGTGTTTTTTTTCGAAAAATCTTCATCACTAATGGCATCACTCTCAATAAGTACAGTATTTTAATATAACGCGACATTTTTCTTGTTTAACCAGGAAACTAGAGACGGCAGTTCAGGGAAACTCGAAGGGCAAAGCAAAAATGCATCTGGAAGTGGGAACAGCTAGAGTACAACACTAGAAAGCATGGAATATGTGATAAAACATTCATGATTAACAGCAAGGAGAAAGTGGATGAGTGTTTTTGGATATGCCTTCCCATGTGAGACTCAGAACACTCTTTGTAACTAAATAAAACATTTCTTGAACCACACAGATGGTTGTTTTTTTTTTTTTTGGTCCCAACAATGTATGAACTTATTACACAATTGTAATCCTTCAACTTATGCCTTCTTATGATGTTGTTGTGTCGAAAAAGGATGTCAATGTTTATTTAGACATTGGAGATACAATGATTCTAAACTATTTTGTAGTAATTTCTGTGATTGTCCTTTTACTTCTTTGTCAAACACTCTGTTGTTACTTGTTAAGGAGCCATACTTTTTCAACTGATATGAATACTTTCAAATTGAAATATCACTTTATAGAACAACAACAAAAGTATGACATTTTATTGTTCATAGCGTAAGTGTGTACATTTATGTTAAAAAACAAGACAAGACGAGTGAATCCGCCTCATGGTTAGGCCGCTCAACCAAGAATTTGTGACTAAAATCAAGTAAAATTTATATCTTTACCTCTAAAAGCACTTCAATTTGCAGACTTTTGACCTTTACTAGCATTAGCAAGATATTCTTGACCAAATCCTACACCAAATAATGTCTGTCCTTAACAAAACTGCAAGAAGTCAAACTTCAAATTGCCGAGGTTCACAATGCCAATGACTAAAAAAACCTGTAAATCCAAAAGGAAAGGGCTGATAATTTAGCAAGATCAAGTGAACAGAAAAATCGACAAAACCTTGTCTTGGTGACGCCTGTAAAACTTTTCCCGGTACTTTAGCAACTTTATGATGAAAGTAAGGTTACTTAATATTTTCAGAACACGATTTGTGCGGCTAAGCATCTTGAAGATGGCGGGCAAAGGCAGAAAAATTTTCGGCTATCGTAACATGAAGCTTTAGCTTCTATATTTTTTCCCATTGGCGGCTCAGCATCTTGAACAGGATTTGAACTGCCTAACATGAAGCTTTAGCTTCTATATTTTTCCCCTTCTCCTTCTCATATCCATAGTCTGATTTCACTATCACTCACTAGCGCGGCTATCCTCAGGCCAATTCCTTCCCACCCTTACCGGCGTCCATAGTGAAATTGAAGTCATTATATATAATTACGGATATGGATGGATGGGAAGGGATTGGGCCAACAATAGCCGCGCGAGTGATATTGAAATCGAGATTACGGATAAGAGAAGGAGAAGGGTTTTTGAATTTGATGTCATTTTTTTTTCTGTTTTCTTTTTTTTTTTGGTAATAGTTTTGATTGTGTTTTGGGATGTATGTGAGCATTTTTTTAGTTTGGTGAGGGTTAGATTTTTAGTTGGTTTATTACGTCTAGGCACCAGCTATGGACTACGAATGGGAAAAAATCAAAAAATATAGTAGAAGCTAAAGCTTCATGTTAGGTAGTTCTACTGAGTAATTTTATAGATTTTAGTTTTTTTTAATAATTTCCTATATAGGCAAATACAAAAATTGATGCATAGAAAGCTCTCTCTGAAAAAAAATTCATTCTACCCGAAAGAAAAAACAACCCCAATTAATTTCTTTGCCCTCTCTTCTTCCCAAGCCGATCGCGGCATCCCATTTTTCGGCCATGGTTGAGGTTGGAAGCTTTCGTCCCGCTCCACCTATTGCCCTTGTGTAGGTATGAGTTCGTAGCATCTCTTGCAGCGCCGCCTCTGGCGAAGGTTTTGAGCCACAGTTTTTCATATTTGTCTCATATCTCTTGTCGATTGGGTGACACCTCTAAGCCCTCTATTCTTCAGCTTTCCGATTGGAGGTCCCTGGCAGGCTTCGCGTCGCCGGTTACCTCTGGGTTTTCGGCTCGGCGCCTCGAGCTAATCCCTTTGGTGCCCTTTTCTCCTGATTACGACTTCGGGAGCTCAACTTCGGACGAAGGCTCCCGAAGGCGTGCCTTTTTGCAAAATCTTTCGAGCCACTGTTTCAGCTGGAGTTTTTAGTCATGGAGTCTATCTCTGTAGCTCTCTTTAGTTTTTTGTTGTGGAGTTATCTTGTTGTGGGCGTAGACTTGTGTGTTGGTTAGTGTGTCTGTTGTGATTTGCTCGCGAGGAGTATGGAAAGTTTTATCTTTAGTTTAGTTAGATTAGGTGTGTGTTTTGTGTGTTTGTTTTCCTTTTGGTTTGAGTGTGATTCTTCATTGTTGGAGTTAAGTAATCTCAACTAGTTGGAGTTTTTAATTATTTGGTGTGGTATTAGCTTACAGCATCCCGAATTTAGGACTTTTACCTCTGTCGAATGCTCGGATTTTAGTCTTTAATCTAGGACACTCCAGTGAGTGCTCATCCATGAATCATCTTTTGATAGATTTGTAAGGCTAATTAGTTTCTTTGTACATTCATAAAATNGCAAAAAAAAAAAAAAAAAAAAAAAGGAAAAATAGAACTGCAGGGTCCAATTTGCAACGCAACCAAAAGTAGAGGACCCAATCAGCAGTAGCCCCCAAAGCAAGTAAAAGAATCACAACGTTTGGTTAAACGACGTCGTCCAGTTCTATAAAACTTGCGAAACAGCAAAATTCCAGCTCCCAGCTGTCTTGCAATTTTAACCTAGAAAACCTTCAGCTCCTCTCTCTCTCTCTCTCCCTCCCTCTCCGCCCTCTCTCTCTCTCTAGGTTACCGCCAAACGCCGCCGCCTGGACCTTAACTCCGCCATGGCCTATCAACCTCAATCGCCGAATCACACCCCCAACACCTCCTCCGATGAGCGAACTTCAAATCGCCGACTCTACAACCCTTACCAAGATCTGCATCTCCCGGCGCGGACCCTCTACAACCTCCCCACTTCGCCGGAGTTCCTATTCCAGGAGGAATCCGTCGCGCAGCGCAGATCCTGGGGGGAGAACCTCACCTACTACACCGGCATCGGCTACCTCGCCGGCGCCTCTGCCGGCGCCGCCAAGGGGTTCGTGACCGGAGTCAAGGCGATCGAGCCGACTGACACGATGAAATTGAAGGTCAACCGGATCCTCAACGGGTCGGGCCTCGCGGGCAGGCAGGTCGGCAACAGGTGCGGCGTCATCGGGCTGATGTACGCCGCGCTCGAGAGCGGCATGGTCGCGGTTAGAGACACGGATGACGTCGTCAACAGCGTGGTCGCGGGTCTGGCTACCGGGGCGCTCTACAAGGCGGCGGCGGGGCCGAGGTCCGCCGCCGTGGCTGGGGCCATTGGAGGTGTGCTAGTGGGGCTCGCCGTCACCGGAAAACAGGCTCTGAAACGATATGTGCCGATTTGAGGGGTTAAATTTTAATTTTCTTTTTTTTTTCTTTGAGTTGGGATTTGAAAGTTTTCGATTTTGCTGGGTGGGTCTTTTGTGGTTTTCTCGATCAGTTAATTTTAAAATGGTTCTATGAAAGGTGCAGTCTTGATATACTAATTTAGTTTTAATGGCACTGCAAATTCAGTGAGCATGCATTTCTATTGGTAGTATATAGCACTAGATGTCTGTGCAACAATATGTTTTACATGGTTATCTCATTGAATGTAATTTATTGCAGATTGTTGGAATAATGGGTTTCTGAATAAAAAATCCAGGAAAACATTGCTCTTGACATCAGGATTTTTTTGCCAATTTACGATTTTGTTCATACGGTTGTTCTTTCACTTCCCATTGACCTCTTTGCTTTCATTTCCCTCATGTTCGTACGGTTGTTCTTTCGTACGGTTGTTCGTAGGGATGTTTATAGTCTTACCATCTTATTACTTTTGTATTTACATGCATGGTTATAGCAAGGATGAAGTTGTCTTGTTGATTGGTTGAGTTTGTCCAAATGGGTTCTTGTAGAATGCTGCTTATCTGTAGTGATTATCTGTGAACTTTGAAGTTGAAAGTGCTCAAATTTATGTGCTTAGGAGTTGGGGATGTTTGGAAAGTTAGTACTGTTGAATTGTGTTGTAGTTGTGTAACATAAGTAATTGTACTTGTGGATAGAGTTGATAAGCTTGATTTGTGTTTGTACATGTTCCCAGATAGTAAGGCGAGTTTTTTCCGTCAGTCTGGTTTCAACTCTCTAGTGAAAAAATACTGCTACTAGAGAAAGGAGTAATTATTCTGGTCTTGGTTTGTATTTGTCCCCAGCCAATTTATTTTTAGGAAATGCTGATAGTATTAAGTTGTTTTTTCTCACACTCAAGTGAACAGAATTTTCTTTGATGAAGATCTGAAGTGCCCAGATATATACATATATTGGTATTGGGTGTAGCTTTCCTGTTTAGTTCCTTGTAAAACTTGCATCAAGTGATTTACTACAATTTCAAATCAGCTATCCAAAAACCTCCTGAGAAATTTTTTGATTCCACAAGTGAAGTAATATTGGGATATGATTAAAGATCTTGTGCAGCAGAATTCAGATTCTGATTCTATTATGTTTTTGTTTGTTGCTAAAATGGATAACCGGTATTTTGACATGGCCAAAAACAGACAAGCACTTGACAAAAGTTGTTTTCTGGTGCTTGATCGACAATAGGATTGTTGGAACTTTTACTCCAAGCCTCTGACACACAACGTGCCATGAAAATTTTCAGTATATTCCATTTGAAATCTCCACTTCAAGATCGCATAAATAACTCATCTCCATAGATAACGAGTAGACAATATTTTAACAAGGAGTTTCAAATATTGATTCAGTCAAATGGCTATGAAAAATAGATTATTCAAAATCGTGAAAATATTACTTCGATTAAAGGTTCAAACAATCAACAACGGGCATCAAGAAACTGATTCAATCATGCAAATCAAATTCTTCAAAGAATCAAATATTTGCACCTCAAATTTGGAAGCTGCAAGATTGAAGTACACAGCTGTGTGGAACGGTAGTGAACAAATGTGTTAATCAAGAAGAGATTATAGAATAGAATCATCGCATGCTCGAGAGGAGAGCAAACTTCAATTTGAAGCATACCACTTGAGTGAGCCATTATTAAAAAAAAATATATATTCTAAGTACACAGCGACTGAAAAACATTTCATTGAAAAAAATCAAAGTGAAGACAACGCGAAAGCTTCAAAACGGGCTTTTCTATGATTGTATTCATCCTCTTCATGGGTCTTGGTGATCAAACCAGAAGCAATTATCAAAGTTCAAAAACTAACTTAAAGTAACATAGACTCTGGATTCTCGACATAACCCTTAAAGGCCTTCAGCCATTCTGCTCCAATTGCACCTGAACACAACAGGTTCAAAAATTCAAAATCATTAGTTAGAGCACATTGTAGCTCTATACACTTACGTCCATTTCAAGAGTGCTTAGAAAAAACTAGTTCTATAAGAATTATATTAATTGTAGAAAAAGATAAAAGTAACCGAACAGCAGGAATTGGTAGTGGTTACATTCCATATAAGTTACTAATAAGAATGCGTGGGGAAAGCATTTTTAGAAAATGCTTGTTTATTGGTTTAAGTAAAACCAGAAACAGAATTGGTAGTGGTTACATTCCATATAAGTTACTAATAAGATAGCCATATTTCCTTTTTCTTTTCTTCTTTTTTTTTAATGAATGAAAAAATTATCCATAGATGAATTATTTATTGGGTTAGGTGCCAAGGGCAACTTACCATCAATGACTCGATGATCGCAACTTAGTGTAACAGACATGAATGACGCAAATGCATACTGGTCAGGACCGGCACCAGGTATCACTCTTTTCTCAGCTGCTCATAGAGAATTAGAAGCTAAGTAAAATATCACCCTTATATATATCTAAAAAGAGGAAAGCAAAAACTGCAACTCAAAAGACCTTCGAATTACCAGATCCAACTGCAAGAATGCCCGCCTGTGGTGGATTGATGATGGCACAGAATTGCTTGATGCCAAAAGGTCCTCCTAAGTTTGAAACGGTAAACGTACCTCCCTGCAGAAAAGATATACAAGGAATTGATATCATAAAGAAGAACAAATCTTTTTAGAGAGTTTAATAAACAAAGCTTTATTTCACCTCGTAATCTTCTGGTTTCAAGCTGTTCTCCTTTGCCTTCTGAGCTAAATGCTTAACTTCATCAGATATTTTAGATAAACCTTTCTTGTCCGCGTCCTGTGAATTTTGAGCATAATGAGTTGCAAGACATCAGATTATTTTCTTCAGAATAAAGAACAGTGTATGGTACAGAAAATGACTTACCCGGATTACAGGCACATACAATCCATTTTCTGTTTGCACGGCGACATTAATATTCACGTTATGATACCTGGAGTTAAACATAAGATATAAAAATTATACAACAGTCCTTTTTTATTCAACAACATATAGCTCTGTTAATCGCACTTACTGGCGAATATATTCATTGGTCCATGAACTATTACATTGAGGAACTTTTCTGAGAGCCAAGGCGGCAGCCTGCAGTCAAATTTGTTATAGAATTTTTGTTATTGCAAGAAATTTGATTGCTTTAAAATACTATGCTTTATGTAAATGAAAGAGTTGTAATTTTCTTAGGGTCAATCATGATGTTTAAAAACTAAAAATAGGCCAGTCAAAAAACTCTTCAGAAAGTATTTATTTACTTATTAATACATGTAGTTACTTTCTTTTTTCTTCGGGGTGGGGTTGTTGCATGTGCTCTAGTCCACAACTTAACATAAAACGAGGCAGGAGATAGAGAGAGATTAGTGGACGTGTCAAAATATTTCTTACCTTAATCACAAGATCATTAACTGAAATTCGTTTCCCACCTGAAGCTTCTTGTATAGAATTCAGACGGACACGCAATCTGCATGAACACGAGTTCAGACAAATAACACATATTTTGGGGGTGGTAATTCTCATTTGTTAAAGACTGCACACTCACTCCATAAGCTTGTCCACACATGTATCCACAGTTAGGTAATAGTGAGGGATGGTTTGTTTTGATTGCAACAACCGGGATGCTGTGATCTGTAACAGTCATTAATTAAGTTAGCTACTATATCAATTCACAATCACAATTGAGATGCTAAAGCATATTAGATTTTTGCTGTCTTCAAAATACGCAATAATTTCTAGTCATATTACCGACTTCCCTGGTGGAAGTTAAATATAGCATACCAAAGGTTCATCATAACTTAGAGCCATAACATCAAAAGAAACCTATGCAACAGCCGAGATACTTCACAAATCATATATATTGAGCGCCCGGCAAGATGAGAATGAATTAAACTAAATTACTCTTGCACTTACGGAAATGTAATACAAATATTTATAATTTTACCTTTCGGATTTGCGAATGTGGGATGTCGACGTAATCTAGAGTTGCCGATGCCGTGTCCACCTTAGGAGCTTGTGATACTTCCTTACCACGTGAAGCTATGGGACAGGAGAAAACGGGTTACTTTCATATAGCAGAGTGTTATAGATAATCAAAAACTATGAAATGAAGCACAGGATCATGGCATCAAACCAGAAAGGAGGGAAAAACAAAAATACAGATAAATCAAAACAGGTGGCAAACTACATGTAGCCTAAGGGTAGCAAACAACTACCAAGATAATCTTCAATATCAGCTTTCACGATGCGGCCATCAGGACCAGTTCCTTTGATGTTCGAAAGCGATATCTGCATTAAAAGTAATGTGCAGACATAGCAGGAAGCACATCACATAAAAATATATTTGTAATAACAAAAATCCATATGAGAATGTAATGTACATTATGATCTTCAGCAAGTTTCCTGGCAAGAGGACTAGCAAAAATGCGATCTCCAGCTGAAGATGGTGCGCTAGGCTTGGAGCCTTTTGGTTCTGGTGAAGCAGCAGGTGCTTCAGCAACTTCTTGCTTAGGTGGAGACGGAGAAGAGGGTGCCTTGGGTGCAGGTGTGGGTGTAGCATCTGATGTTGGAGTGTAGTCTTTAAATTTTGCAACATCGTCCTCTTCTTCAACAGTTATGGCAATTATCTATCCATAAGGTACATTTGATCAGTCAGTATTAGTTACATAAAGTAATTTAAGTGAGATTCAAATGTTAGAACATTAACTCTATACATATCCAAAACTGACATTTGTTGGCCATTATTCAATTCATTTATCAGAACCGATTAACAAGTTAAAATTTGTACCAGCTAACCAATCTTATTCGTTTACACAAGTAGAAATTATGAATCATTCTGGCTTAACTTGTATGTGTACCAGAGTATTATACAGTAAACTAGTTTCAGTAGCATAGATAACAATTTAGTCACTTAATTAAGAAAAGAAAATCCCAACTTGAACCAGCTGAAATCAGATATTCTAACATGACAATGCAAAACAACAGTGGAGATTATAGAATGAAATAAAAGCCTTATAAGTGAATACCATTGAGCAAACATGCATAGCTGAAAAGGGCATCACAAGGCGAGGTCATTTTATTAATGGACCTAATCTATCCTAAATATGTTAATATATCACACTACTGTGAAATAAGAGAACTTCATTCAGATGAGTACTACCTCACCAACTTTGATCCCACTTGATCCATCCCCGCGCAAAATTTTTGCCAGATATCCTTCCTCCATGCACTCCATTTCCACTGTGGCTTTGTCCTTAAGTCATCAAGTGGCATAAAAGACAAGGAAATTAGACTTACAGGTTACAAGGTAACAAGACAACATGGTAGTCCTTCAATCAAAACATGATCATCCAAAGACACACTCACTCATACACACGTAAGAAAAAAAGAAAATAAAATAAAACAAGAACTAGAACAAGACCCACAGTTTCCACTTCACAGAGAACTTCTCCAGGCGAAACTTTGTCACCTTCTTTCTTCAACCATCTTGCAATATTACCCTACATGACATCCAGGGAACAAACACTAAGAATAATAGTTGCAGATACAGAATTAAGGATGGTCTGAAGAACATGCCTCTGTCATTGTTGGTGAAAGCGAAGGCATTCCAATCTCTTGATGTGGTGGAAGGCCTGAAATACAGCAGCATGTTCATCAGAACATTAATGTGAAGCAACAAAACATGGAGAGAGGAGTAGTCACAACTCAAGGCGTTCTTTGAAATTGTGAAGTTAAATATAAGAAAAAAAATAGTTTACAGCCAAGATTCCAATATCAAACTGACCTGAATCTGTCGAAAATCTTCTGACCAAATTTGCTGGTTGACTGGAGACAGGAAAATCCAATCAAGACGGAGAAATATATAGATATACTTTCCACAAAAAAATATGTCGGAAGATTGAGAGTACCTGTTGAAGAGAAAGCCTGTTGCTGGCGCTCGAACCTTACTTGTTATCCATAGACCATTTCCCTTGTTCATTCTCATAGATGATACCTTAACAAAGCGTTCGAAACTTTTAATTCTCAAAATTACCGAACTGAGTAACAATTAATATACCAAAGAGCACCAGAAACGAGACAAAAAAGCTTTAGTGGATCTAATCACCAGGGTTTTATTCACCGATTGGTGACTAGAACCAAAAGTTCCAGCAGAGAACTTCCGAATGCCAATTTTGTCTTCAGGTTTGATATTAAGAGGCCTGGGCTTCGAAATATCTGTACCACAATAGATTTTTCATCTCAAATGCAAGTCGAAAAGCAAAGATTCATACATACAAAAATATGCACAAACATACAAAAGGATATGCAGCACAACATTCACATATCACAGGGTGTTATGTAGGTTCATATACAAATTCATTTGGTGGACCGAAGCACTAAAAGGATAGAAACTCACCTTCAAAGGTCATCGTAAATTACGTAGTTCTTAGAGAAGATATCTAATACGAATATCATTCCAATTTATTATTGGCACATACTATTTTGAGAACAAATTATTGAGCAACTCACAAATTACAAACTGTTCTAACAAAATACATTTTCTTGAAAACCAAAAATAACTTCCCCAAAACTCATATATCACGCCACTTTTTATATGACCGGGACCAGGTATTCAAAGTGCAATCATAACTTCTTAACAAGTAGGCCAAGATCAGCTAGTTTGACTTGCACAACCAAAATTTAAGAGAAGCAGGGTCTGGCATTCATTTTCGGTCCAAATATTTTTTTAGGAAATGAGTCAATGACTGCTAGCGCAACCCACTAACTAAATTAGCAAGCACGATCTAGTAAACAAAAAGCAGCATATGTTTAATGCATGAAACCAGACGCAGTAAAAAGTATCAAAATTATGAAGCACATCCTTGTCACATTTATTCTTATCAGGTATTAGAGGTTCAGGTTGCAGTCACCAATGAATCAAGTGTTATCAGATGACAAACAAACAAGTGTCCCGTTGGGAAAACAAGCTATGTGACTAACCAACCAAAATGACTATTTAGGTGAATCTAAACCTATACGGTAGCTCCAACTGATGCATGAGCTTTGCTATTGCGCCAGAACCACAACCTCAACTTTATGCTTTTAAACTGCAACAGTAAATAGCAAGGGGGGAAGCTGAAAAACGCACCAGAAAATGCTTGGTAACTTACCATCTATTTTGTTGACAGATGGCCTGGCATCACTTGTAAACCAGCGTGTGTATATTGCACGGTCCCGTAAAACATTGTTAGTTTGCCGCATCTGTAGCCAAAAGCACAGCACTGTTAGTTCACTGACAACACAACTCCATCATAAGGCCTCGAGGTGGAAAAGGCAGTGTTCTCTCAGTCCCTTAAGTAAACAATTGGTAGTGCAGTAACTTTTTAAATATAGCTGATAAATACATAAGTGAGTCACTACAAGTCTAAATTATCCAAACAGAGTCATATTTACAATACACTGGAACAAAATAAATAGATGACAAAGAGAGGTTTGTTTTCAATAAACAGCTGCAAATCTGAAAGCATCACTACGAAATCACCAAAACCCATTAGACCACAAAAAACATATTCACATATCTACATTCCCAAAAAAAAAAAAAACACTCTCAGAAAAGGTGCAAATATAATAACCACAACTAATCGAACATGCAATGAGGTCATAATGAGTTAGAAACTCGTGAAAGCTTGATACTATTTTCCCCTCGAGTCGAATAAACCGAAAGCAACTCGAGAGATTAATCCCAGTTAATGACAAAACCTAGAAAACCAAACACAAGATAATATTTCTCCACACATAGCGCTGCGGACATCATTTATATATACATATGATGATATGAAGGTAAAGGCCAATTCAACAAACCAGCGGTAAGATCCCAAAACAGACTGCGGAACATTTCTATAGAGCACTACAACAGATTCCAAATTAAAATCAAATCGATACATCATATAATCACAACAAACACACACACACATACACGCAAAACAAACGTGAATTCATGTCCAGAAAAGACGATCAGTGACAAAAATTCATCGAAAACGGAATCACCTTTCTAGAGTGATGGAAAAATCGGGCGGCGTGCGTCATGACTTAGCCTGGTTTCTTGGCCGAGAAATCTGGATCGAATCGCAACCCTTGTCGTTGATTAGCTGGTGAATTTGGAGTTTGGCTTTCGGTTTTGTAGCAGTCGAAAGAGGCAGGCGGGTTGAAGAAGGTGAATCGGGTAGGAGATGTAAATATGTAAAATGCTAATTAAAAATGAGGATTGTGTAAAATTAAATAAAAAATCAATATGAAAAATGCTACTTTGATAAGTAGACCAAATTTTCAACCTTTAAAATTACAATCATTTTTTTAAAAATACTAATACATACATTTAATGAAAGAATTATCATATGTTTTTTTAAATGGTTAGGTGGATGGATGATGCTTGATTTTAGGAACATTGTGAAAATGTAACTATTAATTGAATAATTTCAATTAATATATTTATCAAAACAATTTGGAATCACAAGTTGTTTTGTCATGTGTGACGCAACCTATTCATTAGTCAATCGATCATTTATAATTTTTTCAACAAAAAATACGTAATAATATTATAAAATATCACAAAATATTTGTTTATATTATTATATTTTAATGTATAGTATTTTAATTGTAAATATTTTTTTGTTGAAAATATATAGGTGGATACAACAAACTTTTTAAAGTTATCATTGCCTAACCTTTAGAATAGAATATTGCCCTAGTGGGATGTGCAAAAATGGGACCAGCAACAAAAGACAATAAGATATATGTATTTTCCTGAACAAATAAATGAATAGCCTAGGACTATGTGGTTTGGTTGTTTTTCTATAAATAATTCAATTGTTGGAACTTAAAATAAGATTGTATAAACTTAAATGTATTGTATGATGGAATATTGTTTGTTTGGTGTTGACAACTTCTTTTTCAACCTCTACCAATCTTCGAGCTCGGTAAATTTCTTCTTTAGGGTCGCGACTTTATCGGCGTCGCGGCGGGCTTGCTCCCCCCGAGAGTCATATCCCTTGCGTTGGGTTCGGGGCCCTTCTGACCGTTGAGAGGTCGGGGAACCGAGCTTGCAGGTCACCTAACCCGAAGGTTTGCGGCAAATATGTCTCCTCTAGTCCCCTCGTGCCTCAAGTTGGTCTCAGAATTTTCTTGCCCGTCAAGACTGTGGGGAGAAGTAACAGGTCACCTAACCCGAAGGCTTGGGATAGGCCTGTTTTCCTCGGTTTCCTCCGTCAAGGCTAGTGTGATTATCCTTTTTTTAACGGGGCTAGGTCATGCGTTTTCGTGACATAATCGTGTTTTGTGATTGGGCTGACCTTTTCCTTTTGTCTTCGGTGAAATGGCCATTCTTCTTCTCCGGTGTCTTCAGCATGTCCGCCTCCGGTGAAGGCGGCGGCGATAGTGTAGCCAGTGGTATCGATGGCATGATTTGCTTCAACAGATTTGTCACCCCCATAACGAAACTGAGGTCTTGGAATAGCGACGTAAAATCGATGTGGGTGTGGCGTCGTACGGCTTCTCCACTTGTCGGCACTGTTGTGACCGTTGTTCCGATTGACCGTCGGGGCTGGATGACGTCATTTTCTGGCCGATTGTTCAAAGGATTAAAAAATAGACAGAGATGAAACTGTTGTGGATGTTAACCACAAGTTGGAAATTGACTCCAATCAACTTATGGAGCCATTGATCTGGCGTCAAACTGTTAATGAGTGTTTTCGATCAACGGATACATACAGGCAAACGCCGATGATTAAATGTTTAAATAAAAGGAGAGAATATAAGGATTAGATGTGCTATTGTTAATCACCTTCAATTGACAAGTGAGTAGGGATTAAGGACTTGATTAATTAGCCTTGAGCAATTGAGTAACGCAAGTGATATTGAAAATGAGATCAAACAGTGCAGCTCGGATTATCTGTATGTCTTCATTTTCATGTTTCTTCTCCTAAGTCGGCTAGAGTTTCGGGGATGCCCAGTGAGAGATTGATCTGCGAGGAACCGACATGGTAGTCGGCCCTGGCGAACTATTTTAATGCGCTTTCCTCAGTTTCCTCTTTCCATTTTGAGGAGCCTACTTGACACTGAACGATGGTCTGACTTGAGGTCCCCTTAACATAATTTGCTTATGATATCTCTGAAGCGTCGGGATCAGGGCATAAGCATATAATTTTCAATCCCCAAGTGCCAAGTATGAACCTGACTTTAGTATTTTTATTCTCGCGGACAATTTACTAGCTCCTTAAACAAGTAAAACTCCCTGGCTATCTTACTTGCCAACTCGGATATCACCAAAAATAATGAAATGACCAATTATATATTTAATGTGAATAGTATAGATATTTAGACCATCCATCTGGAATTTCTAAAGATTTTTTTAGATTTTGCAAATAATGGTGTATTTAATTTTGGGATTTTACAAAGTCTTACAAAATTTTGAGTTATTTAACTTATTTGAACCAGAATTTACTAAGACTTTTTAAGATTTGCTGAGATTTTTAAGGAAAAAACCTTATACGAAATCCCACATCTAGACTTAAGATTAAGATTTTATAGAATTCCTCCAAAATCTGATAATATTAAAAGCTTCAAAATTTCATTTGAAATCCCAAACGAATACATCCCCTGAAAATTTCACAAAATCCACAAAAGTCACTCATTTTAAAAAGACTTAAAAATGTCTTGAAAGTCTCAATTGAATACGCGCCCTAATAGCATCTCTTATGTGACTTTTGACATTATAAAAAATCATCCATATCATAAACTTCTGAGAGTGTGTTACTAATTTATTATCGAGTATAACTTGTCATTAACTCTTTCGTTGTGAAGTGAATATCATTTAATGTTGACAATGTTGAGCTTACTTTTTAATATCGAACACCATTTATACATGATAATTCATCAATTCACTTTATATTTAGTTGGATTTTTTATTGTTCTTGTGTCAATGAATTGTTTTAATTGATCCACATATACAAATAACTTCTTATCAATTTGATGCATTGGAGATCCTAGTTTGACTCAAATTTTTAGTATTTTAACATTATTACTATGTGGAGTAACATTATAATAATTAATTGACATGTGTTAAAAATTATTGTCTTTCAAAATCATAGCATTGGAGATACCCTAATAATATGATTGGTATAATGAAATGGAATTTGGTAGGAATAGAATGAGTTGAAGAATGAAAATAATATCGGATATAAATGAAATAAGTTTTTCCATTGATGTGTTTGGTATGCAGAATGAATAAGTCCTGAATGAAATGACATTATCATTCTATATTATCATTTATCATTATTTTAAAAAAATAATATTTACATTAATGTTATTTTTTTAATTTATGATAATAATAAAATTATTTTATTTCTTAAAAAAATATGCTATATTTAATAAATTATTATTGTGTTACACTCATATATATTATATAATAAATTAGTGAATTATGTATTCGTATACATATTAATTAATACAAATATATCATTACATAAACCCCTCTAAGCATATGTGGTCGAATATAATTTTGTATATTATAATTTAGTTTATGAATAAATATATAATATATATGATGTATAAAAATAAAATAATATTTACGTCTTGTTGTTGTTGTATGTATTTAATACATCTAATTAAAATAAATAAAAATAATTTTTTAAATTTTTTATTTGAAATTTTTTTAAAGTAATTTTATTTAATGTAATTTAATCATGATTTTATTATATATTTATTTTTTTATAATTATTTATTAATTCTATTTTTTTAAAAAAATTGATTCCTACATATATAAGAATGAAAAAATTTTGCATTTATTGTGGAATGGCCGACATGAGTTTTGCAATTCTTAGAGCACATTTGGTTGGGCGGATTAGACAGGATTACCTCATTAATCATAAGTTATCCTATGTTTGATAGTACAGATTGAAACCGCATGATAATGGTCGGCCCGAGATAAATTCACCATAATCTTGGATACTCAGGACTATACTATCATGGGGGAGGGGCTATGATAAATTTTATCAAGGCTGATTTTAATAGTAAATTACATAAATATCCAAGTTTTTAATTTATCCAGAAATATGAGTTCGGCTTGTCCACCGGTCGGCGATGTCCCAACCTCACCGTCGATCTTCCCCACCTCCGCCACGCAACCGCCGCAGCCGCCTGCCTCCTCGTCCACGGTCGGCGATGTCCTAACTTCACCGTCGATCTTCCCCACCTCCGCCACGCAACCGCCATTTTTTCCACTTTCTTATGTATTGTAAACAAAATAAATCACGGGCAGATTTTATATATCTGCTGCAAGATCTCAAATTTGTTTCTCTACCAAAGTTTAAGAAAAGAAAACCTCAAATTAATATTTGGACCAAATTTTAGAAAATAAAAAATCCTAATTTAAGAACACCGGTAACAGATGGCACAACACCTGCCGTCGACGGCCAGAAGCCATCAACACGATATTCCGGTTGTCTGACGGGTGGCCGCCACTAGCAACAAACAGAAGATGAAACGAAAATAAAAGAGTAAAAGCCGAAAGAAAAAATTCAGAAAAATATAAATAATGGAGAAATAAAGGAAAAAAGAAAAGAAGATCTCATTTTCAAAAATCTGATAAAAGAAGGAAAAGAAAGAAACGGTGAAGAAGAAATAAAAGAGAAAAATAAGGATAAAGGAAAAGAATTGGAAAGGAAAAGTAAGACCCTATATCAAGGTGAAGAGAAATAAGAGAAAAAAAAAAGAAGATACGGTATAGAAGAGAGGAAAGAAGACGGTGAACAGGAAAAGAAGAATAAAAATAAGAGTAAATTATTATTTGTGTACATTTTGGTCATTTCACTAATTTTATTGTTTATTCGATAAAACCATATCAAGCAAACAAACAAGAGACGAAAAATATCTTAACAGTACAATCTTGTTAAATGAGATAAATATAGTCCAATCCTATCCCTCAACCAAATGTGCTCTTATTAGAATGACCATTCATTCCAAAAAAATATATCATCATGATATAAGAAATGAAAAGGAAATAATAATTACATTCATATGTCATTCTCTCGTAAAAGTCTAAAATTGCCATTCGATATCTCAACGAATATATAATAATTAATATGTCGTAATCAATCCATCGTTCAAATTATATTTTATGATAGGATTAAATTGTCATTCGATATCCAACGAATATATAATAATTAATATGTCGTAATCAATCCATCGTTCAAATTATACTTTATGATAGGATTAGGATTATACGTGTGTATACCGTATACATGGCATACCAGCAAGTTTGTTATTTGCCCTAGCCGCATATTCACTATAAATAGAAGAAACCTTGTAGCAGCCCACGTTTATTGCAAACAAATAAGCGAAAAAATTACTCAGTCTTTGTTCTCCAACTCCGCGGCGCAGATCCGAGGAGTTCATTCAGCAAGCTAATCACCCTCGCAGCAAGTGTTTTCTCTTTTTGATTATAAGGTTCGATCTAAATTCACGGCGCTTTTTGGTTTATACTCTTGTGCCCTCGTCTTAATTTGGCCTCCATTGCACAATGATTAGTTGGTGTTTGTAGTGTTGGGTTCGTCTGAGGGCAATTTCATATCGATCTGTGCTTATATGATGTGCTATGAAAGGGTGAGGCGTTTAATGTGATGTGTGTGCTTGTGCTCGAGAATTTTTGTTGGATTCTTGTTTGCGTGGTGGGATCTTGAAAACCGGTGGTTTTGTGCCTTTTTTTCGATTTGAAGTTTCCTTTTTTGGTAGCAGTTCATGATGCTTAATTTTTCTGTTATCCGCGAGCCTTATATTAATGGCATTTGATTGGGAAACATAATTTTTCTGGGGGATAGGTTTGCTGATAATGAAGTTTACATTAGGTGTAGACTGTGATCTTGTAGAATTATGAAGTGTGTGACGATTTTTTAGGTGAAAAGATTGTTTCTTTAATCTTGTTTTCATGAGATCTTCCTTCCGGCTTATATTTTTATTGGGAATAGAAAAATAAGGTGCTATTATCTGTAAACATAACGTGATAGCCCCTACTTGTTTGCTTATCTTCCCGAACATGAAACAGAAGTTTAATGCTTGTACTCCAATTTGAATGGTTCGCAAGTTTGGCTCTTCTGTGACATCTTTTATCTGCAACTAATATATTTGCTCCAGTGATTCCCTGCCTCTGACTAATGTGAACACTAGCTCATCACTGAAGTGTTCCGGTGATGCTTTCATGATTAATTTATTGGATTTATCTATATAAAGTTACTAAAGAATAAAAGATACTGCAGTATGGCTTCGGCAACAGAAGGTTCACAGTTTGATGCTCGACAATTTGACGAAAAGATGGAATTGTAAGTTTTGGATATGATTGTGTGCTCCAATCCATGATAATTGGCCTAATCTTTGTATTAGTTAGGATGTTTTCTGACCCTAACTTTTGATGCAGGCTCCAAGTTGATGGGCAGGAGTTCTTTACTTCTTATGATGAGGTTTATGATAGTTTCGATGCTATGCAGCTGCAGGAAAACCTTCTCAGAGGCATTTATGCCTATGGTACATTTTTTGTAATACACATAAAAACTATTCGGTTTATTTTATCGACATTGACTGGTTATTTATCATTGGAGCTATGGTATGGACTGTATTCGACTGGTTATTTTACATGTAATGTATTCTTATGCGTGAAGGTTTTGAGAAGCCCTCAGCCATCCAGCAGAGGGGCATAGTCCCTTTCTGCAAGGGCCTTGATGTCATTCAGCAGGCTCAGTCTGGAACTGGGAAAACCGCCACTTTCTGCTCGGGAATTTTGCAACAGCTCGACTATGGCCTGACTCAGTGCCAGGCCTTGGTTCTTGCTCCCACCAGAGAACTGGCTCAGCAGATTGAGAAGGTCATGCGGGCCCTAGGGGACTATCTTGGTGTGAAGGTTCATGCTTGTGTTGGTGGGACCAGCGTACGTGAGGACCAGAGGATTCTTTCTGCTGGGGTTCATGTTGTTGTGGGTACACCTGGCCGTGTGTTTGACATGCTTAGGAGACAGTCACTTCGAGCTGACCACATCAGGATGTTTGTGCTGGATGAGGCTGATGAGATGCTGTCTCGTGGTTTTAAGGATCAGGTATTTATTTTTCATGCCACTTTTACTGTATGAAGTTTTGTGATTTGAACCCATTTTGGCTGCTGTGATTTGCACATTTTGATGTTTGTTTGAACGATTTTTGGTTTTTTTTTGGTTCTTTTTTTGGTAGGAAATTGTGTAATTCCATGGTTCGCTCACTTTCATTTTACATTTCCCTCCTAAGGGCCACTTCAGTTTAACTTCTCGAAAATCTTCTAGTAACAAACTATTTATTGATGCGAATTCCCAATAAATATCAGCATTTCTCTTTCATGCCACTTTTACTGTATGAAGTTCTTTGATTTGAACCCATTTTGGTTGCTGTGATATGCACATTTTGATATTTGTTTGAATGACTTGGTTTTTTGCTAGGAATATTTCTTTTCCCTCCTAAGGGCCACTTCAGTTTAATTTCTTGAAAAATCTTGTAGTAACTAACTATTCATTGATGCGAATTTCAATATTTATTGGACGCATAACTCTTATAACTACCTGACAGATACAGAATCACAGTAAATGAAATACAATATGAGGTTATCGTCACAGATTTCATACATTTAAAATCTACATTCTTTTAAATCTATTTCATCATTCTTCATTCTCAGTTTTTTTACACCAATCACTTCATATCCACTTTATGATTGTCGTTATTCCTAGTTTGGACTTATAAATATTTCGGGATGAGGACATAAAAGGTGCCATTATTTGTATCGACAAATTTAGTCTACATTGCTTAGTGGCCCCTCTCATCCTCTAATCCCAAAACATAAACAGAAGTTTAATGCTTGCACGCCTTTATTCCAACGGCTTGCGGGTTTGGCTCTTCTGTCACATCCTTTTTCTCAACAAAGAACACTTTTTTCATCTTTCTTTCTTTCTGTTTGTCATTCCTTTTCACTAATCAAGTTACTCTTCTGCCAGATTTACGACATATTCCAGCTTCTGCCCGCCAAAGTCCAAGTCGGTGTCTTCTCCGCCACCATGCCACCCGAGGCCCTCGAAATCACCCGTAAGTTCATGAACAAGCCCGTTCGCATCCTGGTCAAACGTGACGAGTTGACCCTCGAGGGTATCAAGCAATTCTACGTGAACGTCGAGAAGGAGGAGTGGAAGCTCGAGACTTTGTGCGACCTTTACGAGACCTTAGCCATCACACAAAGCGTGATCTTCGTCAACACCCGAAGAAAGGTTGACTGGTTGACCGACAAGATGAGGAGCCGAGACCACACAGTCTCGGCCACCCATGGTGACATGGACCAGAACACGCGTGACATCATCATGCGCGAGTTTCGCTCGGGCTCGTCTAGAGTTCTCATTACAACTGATCTTTTGGCTCGTGGGATTGATGTTCAACAGGTGTCACTTGTGATAAATTATGATCTCCCAACACAGCCTGAGAACTATCTGCACCGTATTGGGAGAAGTGGGAGGTTCGGGAGGAAAGGTGTGGCAATTAACTTCATGACTAAGGAGGATGAGAAAATGCTTCACGACATTCAGAAGTTTTACAATGTGGTGGTTGAAGAGCTGCCGTCGAACGTGGCTGACCTGCTTTGAATGGATGGGGCTCGGGTTTTGTTTTTACTGTTCGGAATTTCCTTTCTTTTAAAAGTGCTAGGCGGATTTTTTATTTTTTATTTTTTAAGTTTTATTATGCAAAGATTATCGTGTTCGACTCATTGTGAAGCTGGGAGCGTGCTTTTGCGCAGCGTTGATCAGTGTTTCAGTTTTGGGTGGGGCATGTTTAAGATGCTGATGCAATTTTGTTCTGTAGGTACACTAGGTATGTAAGGCATATTTGGATATTTTGCCCAAATTTTTTGGTTGAATTCTAATCAAATTATTTTAATGAATGTGTGTTCTTTCATTACTGATGGTGGTCTTGCTTTTGCTCAGTTTTTTCTGCAAATATTGAGCATGAATTGAAGTTAAAAACTCTACATATAAGGATTAAAAAGTGTCTTTTTATGTTGTAAGGTTCCCATAAATTCACACCAGTATCTCTCGAGGCCTCTAAAGAAATAAGCAGAAGAAAACAAGATTGTAGGGCTTAAAGTTACAGCCATCAGCCTCATTCAACAAAGAGGTTTGATTACAGTAAAGTTATAGCCCAATCAATCTCATTCAAGACTACCATCTTTCATTGTTAGCATGTTTCATTATAATTCTTAACTAATACAATGACTGCACAATAAATTGCAGATCTGCCTTAAAGAGTATATTGGGACTATTCGAGTTAATATTTGCATAAATCACATAAACATGACATTAGTTTGCACAAGATCAACAGAAACCTTCCGTTACTTCAACGCGCACCTAATCCTAAACTATTCTTTTTAAAAAAAAAAAAAAACTCGAAACAATGAGATTAATTTTCTAGTCCTTCCATTTCAATCTGAAGCAAACTTGTACCTGTTTGTCCTTCGGGCAAAGTGCACCAGCAGATTCTAAGAATCTTGGCCCCTCCACCGGAAGCCATTCATTACAAACCTCGTCAAACACATTCATGGCAGCTCCCTCCAAACCTTGTCCCCAAAAGCAGCTCTCTTTTCCTTCTTCTTTCTCTTTCTCCCCCAATAAGAGCATTCGACACACAAACCCCACGAGTCCCCTCGTGCCTCCATCAAGAACCGTACGTATCTTCCTCGGACGACAATAACAAAGCATGCAGTTCAAGAAATGCATCAAACAGGAATACGAATAACCACTAAAACACAGCTCCAAGTAATCAAACTCCACCACAGGATTATTATTATGACTATGGTGATTTTCGAAATTGTCCGGTTCAAATTCAAAAGGATTCAACTGAAATATTGGAAGTATCAGTGAAATCTCTGACCGGCTCAATTCCTCAAGCAGCTTTCGGAGGTCGATAAACCACTGAGACAAATGGGCGAGTCGATCCATGTTAAACATAAGGTAATGTATACTCGATTTCCACATCTTAGTCGAAGTTTCTCCAGAAAAAGAGATTGGCCCAGCAACATAAGGTCGATAAACAAACTCCTCTAATACAGGGGCATCAATCTTGATTTCACTAAGAACCTGCTTACGAGAGACCCAAATAGTCAGGTGACGAACCAAACAGTTTACAAGTCGGAAAGTATCGAAGCCCGTGCAGGACTTGATTGATAAATGCTCGAGGAAAGGGAAATCGGCAGAGGAGATTTCGAATGACTCCATTGGCAAGTATACATTCTCCAGGCAGAGGGACCTGAGAAAGGGGAAGCAGGCGGGGTAGTTGATACACCAGGCATTGCTCAAGCCTTTGATATTGATGGTCTCGAGTGTTGGCACTGTATCCTCGAATATGATTTCAAAAGCCGGCTTGTTTAGGCCCCTTGCCTCCTGAAAGTGGAAGTGCTCGAGGCAGCCATGGTTAAGCCGGATGGTCGTGGGGCCGAAGCACGAGATGAGCTCCACGCGCTTCACGAGGGGGCAGCCGGGAAGGATGAACCGCTCGAGGGTCTCGTTGTGGATGATGACCCAGTTGAGGAAGAGTGAGTTGAGGTGCTTGAATCGGACCACTGACTCGGCCGGGTTGAAGTTCAGGCGGCAGTTGGTTAGGGATAGGGATCTGAGGGAGTCGGATTCGAGGACAGCTGGAGGAAGGTCGAAAAAGGAATACCGTCCCGAATTCAGTGTGATATTGAGAGAAAACGTGGTTGGGCCGCCGCACGGGCCAGAGAACACGTCCTGGATGTATTCTTCCATGAAGGAAACGTGTTCGGCCTGGAGAATCTCGACGGAAAATTGGGTTATGCGGAGGTTACGGTCGCGGCAGCAGCTGAGAGCTGTTTCGAGGGCGAAATCGAACGATTCGTCGTCGCCGGCGACGCGGAAGTCGATGTTGGGGCGAGTGGAGCCGAGATCGCGCCACGATTTGGATAGGACGGAGGTTTGGAGGGCCTCTTTTTGGGAAAGGAAGGAGAGTATGTGATGCAGAATGGGTTCCGGCAGTTGGGATATCCGGTCGCCGGAACATATGTGCTTCCTCTTTCTGGAAGCCATGAGAACTTGAGAATTCAGAGGTTCCGTTTGTTTTCGACGTATTTTTGATGTCTCAACCTTCTGAAGATGCGCTGCATAAAAACCTGCGGTTTGTAGGGTAAATTACGAATCAATACCCAAATTAACTAATTAAGTGGTAATTTCAAAGTTAATATCCAATCCGGTCTTGATGGCCAACCCAGTCGGTTGACAGTGAGTTTGGACCCGCAACAGAATGGGCCCGTGTTTTGTACGGCGATTCCATTTCCATGTCAATATTAAAAAAAAAAAAATGAAATGCCAGTTCTTGGAAAGCCAAATTTCAATAGGTTAATACAATATTTTTTTTTGTCAAAAATAACAATTGAAAATTATTGATGTAATTTGTAATTCAATAGAATGAAAATATTATCTTACAAGTATTTTGTAACATTCATTACTCATTAGTAACTAGTACAACACCCGTGTATTGCACGGGTGCTTATTAAAAAATTATTCTTAAATTTTACACTTAAATGAGAAAAATTATATATATTTTATTTAATTTTTTCCAAAACAATATATATTATTATATATTTTAGAATGACACTTGTTACTTGTGACTTATATGTGTTATATTATAATAAGTTTTATAACTTATATCATATAACTACTTGAAATATAAATATATTATTAATTGATAAATAATTTAATTTTTCTAATTAATATTAAAAAATAATTTTATTATTGTCATAAAGATAAATATAATTTATTTTTTTTACACATACAATATGGATGCTAAAACGAAGCTCATCAAGAGATGATTAATTTGATATATTATATATGTAAAACTAATAAAAAATACAAAAATTATTAACTTTTAAAATACATTTACAATTCAATGATTATAATAAGAATTGATATTAAAATGCAATTAATATATATAACATGACCATAACAATTAACATATTCATGATAATCTGGACCTAATTATTTTTGGATTGAAATTAAATTAAAATCTATCTAAGCCTAATAACAAAACATGTAATTTTATCACAGAATCTCGAAGCATGCAAGTCTGCCACTTAAACTCAGCACGTTCTGAATTAATATATAAGGGGATTAGTTCCTTTCATTCAATAACTCGATTCATGTACTCATAAGTACTAATTTACCAAACTCTCCAAAAAGAGGGTATGCATAATCTCCAAGAAAACACCCAAGTCTCTTGCAGAGACTCGGTGAGCCGCGCTTCCCGGTCAACTCGGGGCAGACCACAAACGTAATAAATACTACATTCTGTGTGTATGTATGGACAAATAACTTTCACAGAGTACAACGGGTTTACCTGAAAAAAAAAATCAACCGAGAAAAGCGTGGACGGCGAGGAAGACGCAGAAGGTCGGAAGAGATAGAGATATAGAGATTTGTTGGGAGAGAAAGAGACCGGCGAAAACAGAGTTTTCTTGTGTCGTAAGTCCAGTTTTTCACGTGGTCTCTCTCTCCTCTTTTGCTCTCTAATTTTTGCAGTAAATGCCTAAATGGCATTTAACTATTATTTTCTTTTCCGAGGGAAATGTTTATAGAAGCCGTATTACTTATTGTGAAACTAGTAATTTGCACAAAAAAGAATACTTTAAAAAGATAACAATATAAAAAAAATTCATAATTTAATACATGAAAAAAATAATATGAATTAAGAAAATAATTCTCAAAATTGATTTTGATCAAGTAATTGCTATGGAAGAGCCGTTACAATCATTTTCTTTATGCTATTATACCCGGCCATTTTCATGAGTGAGTGTGACTTAAAATTTGAGTACAATTTTGTAACTCCCTTGATTGGTTTATATTCACAATTTATGACATTCAAGCAAGTTATTTTGTAACTTAAAAATGAAATTGAATGCTGAAAATTTTGGAGGGAGAATAAATTTAATGCATGATAATATAATTTAATGTTTTGTTACTCCTCTTTATATATATATATATAGACGAATTAGGTATTCAATAAAAGCTCGGGCTTAAGTTTTTATCGAGTCAAAGTCGACGATTATAGTGGATTCNTTTTCAAACGATAATAAATATTATTACTACAAGAGTAAAATTATTACAACTACTGACCTCCGCTTGGGATTACACAGATGACCAAGGGGACTAGACAAACACACAAACAAAAAACAACAAGACACAAAACAAAGCTCTCAATGGGAGACAACACCACTCCAAATGGAGATCAACCACTCCCGCAAGAGGAGACTAACAACAAACTAAAAAACACAAGAAAAACAAACACAAAAAACACTGACAACATAAACAATAACACCAAAGGAACAACTAAATAAAATAGAATAATACCTCCCCTACTACTCGCGAGCACACGACAAATGAGACACAAACCAACCCATCGACCAGTCTCCTAAACTAAAATCAAAAAGAGAACTATCGATCTAAGACCCCCCAGATCTGAAAACTCCGGACTGAACTCGAACGGCTAGCCAGATCTAGCAAGGAGAAAATCTCGGGCCCAGATCTGAGCCCTCAAAAAGCTTCAAGCCAGGAAAGAGGCACAAACGAGAAAGACAACTCGAAGCCTCACATTTAATCAGGTTGTGTATATAATTTAATTTTTGGGCTATAACAATTATGCATGCAACAATTAAATAAATAGATTCAAAATAGATTTATGTAACTTCAACCGAAGTGAATGAATTCCAGCCAATGCTTCATCATATTGATTTTTTTGCGTCATTTTATTAAGTATGTTGCATACTATGAAATTATACATCACGGATATTTATTTATGATGTAAAATTAAGTTAACTGGCAAAATATGAAGCAAAAATGGAGAAGCATGGCTTATTTGGTACTCCCCTACCCACGTTGGGCACATGTTAATATGCCCACCGCTTATGTGTCATGCACATATTGGTGATGTATTCTTTTTAATATATTAACATCACCAATGTGTGCATGCCACATAAGCGGTGGTCATAACATGTGTCCACTGTGGGTGAGAGAGCATTTCCGTATTTGGTATTACTTAAAGAGCAACTAGGGATTGCTCTAGAAAACTTAATTACCAAACGAAGTCCAAGAAAGCAAAACCAACAAAGAATACTTAAAACTAGAGTATCTCAAAATAAAGAAATATCGAAAACAATGAATAAAACTCATTTTTTTTTTTCTCTCTGAGAATACTGATCATAAATAAAAACAAGTTTTGCTATTCAATTTATCTCACTTTTTTTTTTTAAGATACTGATCATATATTACAAGTTTTGCTATTCAATTTATCCCTTACATAATATTTAAGGGAAGCAAGCTAACCAGCTAAACCTAATTCATGACATGATAGGAAAGATAGATTTAGTGCACCAACGTTAAATCGAGTGTTATCAAATGCCCCAAGATAGAATTCGCATAATAAAGAATCGAAAAGTTGATATGGATATATAATAGCACTCAAGGCCAACTGAGCACAAACTTCATCATGTTGTCTATAAGACGGAACAAATGGCAATAACCAGATAACCAACACAATTACTCTTTTCGTGTTCAGCTCATGAATGAAAAACTTGGAAAAAAAAAAGGATAATACCAAAAAGGAGCTACAAGTAAGTAGAATGTCGAAAAATAAATGTTTCACCAATGTAGCAAGTAATGTGAGAGAGTCATCTCAAGAGCGATCTTGTCAAATGCTCACGAGCAGTGGCTAGAGCTTGGGATATCGTCTGCAGAAGGATATTAACTCATTTTTGAGACATCAACAAAATGGTAGCAATGGAATAACAAATCAAGAAACTTTATTGGATATTTTGAATCTTTGATTACTTGCTGTTTCAGATTAGGGATAATTATAATTGCCAAAACTACCTATATCATATTTCTCATCCAACTATTTTTCTTTTTTCATAATCTCAAAAATCTAGCCGTTGAGAAAGAATTCTGGATCTTTTTTTGTAATTGTTATAAGCTCGAGGATATCTTCTTTGACTCCAATGACGAGTCTAAGCCCATTAAACTTATTTTTGTTTCATATATCCTTGTGTTCTAAAGTCTTGTGTGCATTAAACGAATTCATTCATACATTGTTGGAAAATCACACAAAATCTAAAGAAAGAAAAATAAATAAATAAATAAATAAATAAATAAATCTCTCAGAGATTTCAATATTACCTGCTCAGACAACGGAGCACCATCATCCATGGTATGGGAGGCCACTTTTCCAGCAATAACACTACCATCAGTTTCTAGAACAATCCTGCAAAATAATAAAATAAATAAATATATTGGTAAAATTCATACTTTCAAGTTTGACGAGAAGATATACATCAATTAATCATTCCTCAATATGCGCATGCAGATTGACGAGAGCAGAAGATAATTTTAGTTAATATGTATAGCGAATAAAGCATCTGAACTTCCAGGAGTTCATAACCTACCCTCCATCGACAATCTCATCAAGGCACAAAAGAATAAGATCCAAGTTTTCAAGTGCCTCCCTCAGGTCAACATTGTTCCTGATACAAACAAACCGACACATAAGTTGACAGAATAAGTACTTCCAAATTAGAGTAAACTTTCAGCTCATTCAAAACCTGAGGAGAAGAGTTACTGCATCAACAAAACCCTGTAGCACAGTAGCTAGGATCAGTTCATTTTCATCATCACCTCCAGTCAAAAAGAAATGCAGATCTTGAACAAACTTATACACAATGATATTGTTCTCCAGCATCGTGATCTCCGCTACACGGACAAATTAAAATGATCAGCATTCCCAAAATCAACTAGCAAATACGGAAATTCTAATTCTGCATATGTAAATCAATTTGGTCTTGAATGAGAATACAAGCGTATTGATAATGTCGGGATCGTGAAATGTCATTAATTTAGGGATGGATCGATCAGCTGATGGACAAATAATTTTTATTAATCTTGATTCAGAAAACAAAAATATATAAATTAAGCCACAAGTAAATGACCCGGACATAACCAAAAGTAATTTGAGGTGAATTTCCGTGATCCAAACCCATAACATCCTCAATGATACCAACCGTGTCAACCCAATTTCCAGAAGTTACCATCTTAAATCATGAATAGTGCACAGGGATAGATGTACCTTCCGAACGAGCATTATTCTTTTGGGTTTTCGTGAAAACGGACTTCTCAAAAGCTAGTTTAGAGCTGTTAGTGGGCCATTCATCCGAATAGTACTTGACGGCGACACGTTTGCCCTCGGAATCCAACAGAAGGATGTTCTTCACAGTTGGGCAAGCCTCCTGCAATCCACCAACCCAATCAAAACCCTCTAGACTACAAATCACATTTCCTAATTATACACTGAATATATGCTACATGGACACGCAATTTCAAAGCCCCGATTCATAGTTAAGTTATATAACATACTGAATCACATTACTACAAATGAATACCTCTTATAAACGAGGATATCCAGCTGATGCCTCATATTTACCGTTTAACACAGACCCATACACAGACTACATAACGGGCCATGATCAAAGAGCTAAGTTCTTAACAAAACCAATCTACTTACAGTTGGGCAAGCCTCCTGCATTACACAACCCAATCAAAACCCTCCAAACTAATAATCACTAATCACATTTCATAATTATACACATGCAACATGGACACCCAAATTCAAATCCCCAATTCATAACTAAGCTATATACAATCCTGAATCACATTACTACAAATGAATACCTCTTATGAACAAACATTGCTACAAATGAATACCTCTTAGGATATCCATAAAAAATGGAAGTTTCAGTTCCAATTCAATAACCGACATTAAGGGCCATGATCAAAGAGCTAGATTCATCACATTATTCATATAGTTTTCAAGGATTACTATAAAATAAACACAAATGATAAGGATCGAACGCGTCTGTGTCAGATCTCACAACAGTCAGGAAAACAAAATGCCAAAAGTATTTAAATCACGAAATTGAAGCCGTAGCAAATTATAAATAGCTTACGAAAAAAAAAATGCATATAAAAAATATACTCGACTGTGATAGGCGGCCATTGCAAGCGAATGATTTGAAGAAAGAATTTGCTGGCTTCTGATCGGAATCACACTGATGAAGGTAATTTCAGTGGCCGTTTTTCAGGAGTTAAATGGCTGTATTTCGTGGGCTCATTTATATGTCCAATGGGCCAGAGAAAACTATGGACCTCATTTGTAGAAAGCATAAAGAGCAACAAGCCCACAACCCAACGTACAATAGAATGATCTTGCTTGATACGTGGAACAATATATTTTTTTTTAAAAAAAAAAAATGTTATGTAAACCCGTTGCTGACCAAATAATAATATTAGAGGTTTTAAACATTCGAACATCTAATTCATTATTAAATCTTTAATTTGATTCCAAAATGATGAATACTAAACAAACCAATATAAGCATGACACGAATTTTAGTGCATAATTATTTATAAGGCCATCAATTTTAACGAGGTATGAAATGTATTTGTGCTATAGTAGAATTTTTATTTATTTTTAACGCAATTATTAGTTTGAAATTTCATAATGACAATTAGACCATTTTGATGAAACAGATGAGTTTTAGGTAAAGCTTCAAAATGACACAGCTCATAGTAATTAAAATATTGTACACTCTCTGAATCAAGATCCATCTAGCATTCTAGTTAATTCATCTCATCTATTTATTTTTCTGAATAGTTTAATGAACAAATGCTTGATTCAAGGTGCCTTGACAAGCCAATACAGATTGAAGTTTGAACAAGAATAAGTACTATCATCATAAAACAAATTTAAAAAAGAAATAATAATAAAGGTGAAAAATTAAACTGAAAAGTAAATGAGCATAAACTGGATGAACAGGCAGTAAAGTCATCACAAAACATATATTCTTCAATTTTAGCTAATAAAATAACCATCCACATCAATCATCATGATCCAAACTACAAACACTCTCATTGAACAATTCATCTAAACTCCAACCTAATTCAACCAAAAACTACTAATAACTCCCAAACCCACAGAACAAAACAAAAAATACTTAACCCCCTCAAAAAAAGACACATTTTTGTTTCAGTCAAAGCCTCTCTTTTTTTTTTTCAACTCTTTTGGTCTCTTTTATGGGCTGTAGAATGTGGGCCCACACTTGCATTTCCAGCCCTCTGGCTCATAATTTGTGTACTGGGGGCCCAAAACTCTGTTTGTTGTGGGCACTTGAATGGCCTCACATGGCATGCACCCATAGCACTTGTGCTCACAGCTTGGTGGTCTTGAGCCCATTTTCTTCAACTCCTTGAACTTTGATGTCTTTTCCACATTGCCCATTACCTTTAAAAATAAATAAAAAATAAAGAAAATATGCTTAGCAACTAAAACATTTGCTATATGTTTAAACAACTATGTTATCTACGCAAATATGTATATTCATATATACCTCATTTGATTTGTGATTTATCTTCATTGACGGGGTGTTTTGGATTGTGTT